CAGCAGGCCAAGCAGCATCATAGGAGCAGGAAGGCTGACGTTTCGGGAAGGGTCTAGGCCCGAAACATCAGCCTTCCTGCTCCTATGATGCTGCTTGGCCTGCTGTGTTCTTCCAGCTCTACACCTTGTTATCACAGAAGGTCTAAAGTCAGCTTTGATCTTCAGCTACCCCACAATTAGCAAATGACTTTTACTCAGGACTGTCTGTCATTGTGTGAGTGACCAGGCGATTCTTGACCCACAGATCTTTGGGTACACAGGCAGAACGTCCCAGGAGGTAAACATGAAGTAGCTGTAGTGTTTCCCTCTCATTAGAGAGAGATGACTGGTGGTGGTTTAACTTGAGGGTTACCATGCTTCAGGCGAGGGGAGAGGTTGAGAAGGAGAGGCCTTCATGGTAACCTCAGCCAGTGTGGGAATTGAACCCATGTTGTTGGTAATAAGCCAAGTAGCTGCCCAGCCAAATGAACTAAATCAACCCCAATCTTCAAAATGCAGGAATTGCCTCCTTTTCTGACCACTCCACCCCTGACCCCACACCTCAGCATTAAGCTGTTGTAACTCAATGCGTGATAGAGTCAGGAGGGGCAGGGAAATGATCAGAGAAGGGAATGTACACATACAGTATCCCATAAATCCCACAGAGCCAGTGAGCATGCACCTTATATTGTATGGCATGCAAGACATTCAGATAACCAGCTGTCTGGGTAGTTCAGTCACAAGCTTCCTCTAGTTGTATCAAATATTGCCTCTGATTGTATGTTAATTGAGTGAACCACACAGAGAGAGACAGTGTTTATTCGTTAAAAACCTGATAACCAGGCCTGAACATGTGCTGTGGAATAATGCCACCCAGTTTCGGAAAAATGTTCAGCCTGTTTAGGCAAGCTAGCTTTTCATTCCATCATCGATTCTCTCTTTTGCTGGCCACGCACGCCAAAAATATGCCTGACGGTCTAAATTGGAGCAATGAGCTATGCAGTTGTGGAATTCTCATTGAAACCAGCAAGGACATGTTTAGAATAAGGGTATTCATCTGTGCAGTAAAGTCAGACTGACAGCGTTCAGTATTGTTTTCACTGCAAGCTGTTGCCATGATAGAAACAGGAGTCAGACTAACCCTCTTCCTAAATGCTCCAATTGAGTTTGTGCTCACTCTGCTAATTGATAGTGGAATCCCTTTGAGCCCACAGTCCTACCCTGCTAATCCTTACCAACAATGCCCACATTCACCGTCCTAGGTAACAGTGTCCTATAAATTAACAACACTGTGTAGGGAAGAAAGATTGACATTTACACAGGACCCTTGGCACACAACCCAAAGACACTGTGCTGTAAAGGCGACTCTGTCGATGTGATTTGATGGACTGAATACCACATTGGCATTAGCTCCTGGGAGACCATCACCCTGGGCTGGACCAGGTGGAGGCAGAAACTCTCAGGGTGTAGTCAGTTAATATTTCAGATTTCACCATGAACTGTCCCCAAAGCTATAATAAAGTATCCAAAACTAAATATGACATGGAGGAAGGTGCTGGAGGGACTGATCAAAGAGAGAGAGCAATGCATTGGTCACAAGAAATATTCTGTCCAGTAATAATAACGATTATGGCGGTAATAATAAATGGAAAAGAAAAGAGGAAAAAGCAACAAATCAGTAGTGGAGTTCTTCAGTTGTCATATTCCTGGATGCCCATTTATGAGTGTGGAATAGACTGGCTAAAATACTATCTAGATTCTCTAAATAATAAATATTCCGATGATGTTAAGGAATTTGAGAGTTCCACCCATTTTCAAACATGGGTAAGATTACACACTGAAAGCTTTGAAAAGAATGATCATACCTTACAAAACAGGCAGAATAAATCATTTTATTAGCACGGACACATGGTCCAATGAAATACCCTTATTGTTAGCATCATTGAAGAAAGGACAGATGAAATTGAATATTAAAAATAACAAAGTAAAGTTATGGGATAAAAAAGAAAATAGTTTCACATTTTGTCAGTTTAGAAACCAGATTTTGTCAGTTGATAATAATACATAGTAAAGATGTGAGAATAACTGTGGATAAGGTAATGGAAAAGTGAATATGGACCAGATTTGAACTGTCAACAATATATCTTGCTAACAATGGGAGAGAATTTCTGAAAGATGAATTTAGAGACATGTGTTTGAATGCTATCGTAATAGTCACGAATATAGCAGCAGAAACCCCTTTTAGCAATGAGTTATGTAAAAGGAACCCTGCAGTAAAACAGATGAATTGTTTAAAATTTTGGCAAGGTGTCTTGGATCACGGAATATGCCCACGCGGTTCTTTTCAGATTTGGTTAAATGTAGATAAGAGAAGGCTCGACAACAGAAATTTGCTTAAATATGAATGTTTATTAAGTAATAATAATGATTAAAGTGGTAATAATAAATGGAAAAGAAACAAGAAAAAGCGACAAGCCTCACGCCCTTCTGCCCATCGGGGACCCCTCGATCGATGGCTGGTCTGGAGGCTTAGGTTCGTTCCTGGCGCCATTCATGATTCCGAGCCGAGGTGAAGTCCAGTGACTTGGAATGAAACTCTCTCTTACACAGTGTGACAAACAGCCAGGCACAGAGAAAACAGTGACAGAAAAACACACACCAGCACATACAGGAATGTTCACAGGACTCATTCAAGTTCATGCAGCTGTCAAATATCATCAACAGTCTTCAGTCCTTACACAAGGTAAAGCTATTGGAAGCTAGTTTCAATCTGGGACATATGGTTTATTATAAGAGAAGTCTTCTAGAAGCCCAGGAAAGGTTACTGGAAAAGACAGAAAAATAACAACGGTATAGATTGATCGGGAACACACTTCAACGTTGCTGGGTATGGATTACAAATCTGCAGATTCTAAAGGATCTACAGAAAGTAACCCAGCTCCCTCTTGTACTCAAACACTGCACAGCTTTGAGAATCAAATTGCTGCAATTGACCGTTTGTCTGATGATGGACAGATCCGTTCTGTTGGTCAACATGAGGTCATTGGTCACAAAGAACAACAGACAAAAATGGGGACTAATGTCAAATATTTACCCGAAGGGGCTGATCATTGGAGAGGTGTGACTATTACAGGTAAGAGCACGGAAGGCCACTGGGAAGTATAAGAGCTGGATGGATGGATAGGATGAGGACAGGAGATTCAGCCCATGGATTGGGAACATGAAGTACAAAGATGGAAAGCAAGAAAACGCAGTGTAAGCTCAAACAGTGGGTCTGGGAGAAAGTACACCTAGAAAATAAGTTGTGAAAGAAATCCTATTAATAAGAGGGGGAGGTCAAACTGGAGCAGCCCAGAAAGAAATAGAACATGAAATAGAGAGCTAGTAAGAACTGCCAATGCTGGAGTTATAGATAACACAGTGTGGAGCTGGATGAACACAGCAGGCCAGGCAGCATCTGAGGAGCAGGAAAGTTGATGTTTTGGGTCGGGACCCTTCTTCAGAAACGGGGAGGGGGAATGGAGCTCAGAAATAAATAGAGAGAGGAAGGGTGGGGCTGGGGAAGGTAGGTGGATGGGTAGGTGAGTGCAGGTCGGGAGTGGTGGGGATTGGTCAGTGAGGTGGGAGGAGCAGATAGGTGGGAGTGTAGTTTAACAAGGACAAGAAATATAATACAAACCTAGAATACCACCAGGAGCTGAAGCCCATGTGATCAGGATTTCTTAGTCACCATGAAACTAGAAGACAAGATAATAAAAGATATCAGAAAACAAGAATGACGAAGCTGGAGTGAATTTGGAGTGTACACAACACAAGGGACAACTTTCACAGAGGTAGGGGAGATATAGGGAGAATGTGTCTCCTGACGGGGATATTAAGGCTGAAACAAACCTAGTGGCACAAGGTGTTGAGGAAAACCTGGCAACTGGGACATGAGCACATGTACTGAATGGCAGAAAAAGCAATTTTGAAGATTTTCTTGGCTCTGTTCACAGTTAATGCATAGAAATACGGACCAATTAATATTAAAGCTGCAGGGAGACCAGCTCAAGAGGGAAGTACATCATTCTCCTCCAAAAGAGGCAACAAATGCAGTGGGGACGCTTTGGAAGTTACATAAATGTATAAATGGAAGCTAAATAAATGTGCAAATGTGCTAAATGATGCCCCTAGAGTTAGCTACTTATTAGTAAGGATTGTCTTATTGGAAAGCATATGAGGTAGGACCATTTTGGAGATAGTGACCATAACTCAGATTTAGGATAGTTATGGAAATGGATGAGGATGGGCATGGCGTAAACATTCTAAACTTGGGGAAGGCTAATTTGACGAAGAGATAGCGGATAGGAGATAGGAGTCCTGATGAAGGGTCCCGACCTGAAACGCCGACTTTCCTGCTCCCCTGATGCTGCCTGACCTGTTGTGTTCCTCCAGCTCCACACTGCGTTGACACTAATTTTACTAAGATATGAATTGGTATAAGCAGACTGGGAGCGCTAAAATAGTGTCAGAGCAGCGGGATGCATTCAAGCAGAAAATAGCAAGAAAACAGTGAAAGTGTTCCTGTAAAGACAAAGGATCAAGACCAGCAACTCTGGATGTCAAGGGACATAGAGATCAGGATTAAAAAAACAAAAAAAGAGAAGCTTAAAGCAGACACTAACAACAGAACAAGGCAGGGTACCTAGATGATATAAAATAGGCAGGTGGGATTAGTTTAGTTTGGGATTATGGTTTGACTGAAAGGGTCTACTTCCATGCTGTATGACCCTATGCAAGAGGGCAAAAAGGGTGCAAATTAACATTAGGAGAGCAATGAACAAACATTGGTGAGTAGAATGAAAGAAAATGCAAGATGGTCCTTTAAATGGATAAGGAGCAAGAGAATAACTAAGAGTGGGGTGGGGTCCACTAGGGACCATGGGTAACGGAGTGTGTGGAGCTGGAAGATGGGGACAGATCCTCAATGAATACCTTGCGCTGATCCACAATTCGATGCGGGTAGAAATATCACAGCGGGGACTGCGAAATATTAGAATAAAGTAATATTGAGTGAGACGAGGTACTGTTGGGTAAAATGGATAGATCTGCAGGTGATGTATCCCAGGCTGTTGAAGGAGGCATATGAAAACTTGCAGTTATTCAAAATCCTCTCCAGCCGCAGACGAGGTGCCACAGGACTGGAGGACTGCTAATGTTGTCCCATCATTTAAAAAAAACAGACGACATTATAGACCAGAGAATTACCGTCCAGTCACTCTAACCTCAGTGGTGGGCAGGTTATTAGAAAGGATTCTGAGGGAGTGAATATATCTGCACTTGGAGATACATGGAAATGATTCAGGGATAGTCAGCATGGATTTGTTAAGTGAAGATTGTTTTTGACAAATTTTGATTTTTTTAAAGAGATGACTACAGTGTTGGCTAGGGTATTGCATTTGTTGTGGGCTACATGGACTTTAGCAAGGCTTTTAATAAGATCTCTCATGGCAGACTGGTCAAGAAAGTAAAAGACCATGGGATCCAAGGCACAGCTGTATGTTGGATCCAAAATTGTTTAAGAAGCAGGAAGCATTGAGAGATAGTAGAGGGATGTTTCAGTGGCTGAGAGTCTGTTTCCAACGGGGTTCCACAGGGTTCAATGCTGGGGCTTTGCTGTTTGTGTTGTACACTATAGCCATAAACTGCAGGACAATATCAATAGACTGGTCAACAGGGCAGAGCAGTGGCAAATGGAATTCAACCTGCAAGAGTGATAGATAATGCCTTTGGAGAGGGCTAACAAGGCAAGGGATTACACTACAAAGGATAGGGCTCTGTAAAGATCAGAGGGACTTTGGTGTACCTATCCATAGATCCTTGAGGGTAGCAGGGCAGGTAGATAAGGAGGCATGCAGGATACTTTCATTTATTAGCTGAGGCACAGAATACAACAGCAAGGAGATTAAGTTGGAATTGGAAAATACATTGGTTAGGCCACAACTCGGTGCAGTATATGATTGTAATAGAGAGGGTGTGGAGGAGATTTACCAGGATGCTGCCTGGGCTGGATAAAAAAACTGGAAAGGCTGGGGTTGTTTTCCGTGAAGCAGTAGAGTTTGACACAGGATCTAATGGAGGTGTGTAAGGTTATAAGGGACATGGATAGGGTGGATAGGAAGGCACTTTATCCATTAGTAGAGGGATAAATGACCAGGAAGCACAGATTTAATGTAAGGGTTGATATTCTAAGGTGGGTTAAGGAGAATTAAGAATATGGGAAGGTGATGGCCTGGTGGTATTATCATTGGACTGTTTATCCAGAGACCCAGATAATGTTCTGGGGACCTGGGTTCAAATCCTGCCACAGCAGATGGTGGAATTTGAATTCAATAAAAATCTGGAATTAAGAAGCTAATGATGACTGTGAATCCATTGTCAATTGTCAGGAAAAACCCATCTGGTTCACTAACGTCCTTTAAGGAAGGAAACTGCCATCCTTACCTGGTCTGGACTACATGTGACTCCACACCCACAGCAATGTGGTTGACTTTTAACTGCCCTCTGGGCAATTAGAGATGGGCAATAAATGCTGCCTAGCCAGCGACACCCTCGTCCCGTGAATGAATGAATAAAAAAAATTTCTTTTCACTCAGAGGGTGGTGAGACTCTGGAAATCACTGTCTCAGAGTGGGTGTTGAGTCAGAAAGTCTTGTAACATTGAAGCAGTATGTAGGTATGCAGTTGCATTGCCTTAGCCTCCAGAGCTGTGAGCCAATAGCTGGAAAATGGGGTTAGTGTAATCAGCTCTTTGTTGACTAGCATGAGCATGATGGGCCAAATGACCTCCACTGTAAACATCTGAGTCTACAGCCCAATGTCTACATCTGCAAGGGATGGACAGGGTGTCACAAGAAGCTGACAGGCAGGATAGGGGGACATAAAAATTCATTAGAATTATTTTGTGTACGGTTTTGGTCTCCTTACTTGAGAAAGGATGTACTGGCACTGGTGGGGGTGCAGTGAAGGTTCACTAGGTTGATTCCAGAGTTGAGAGGGTTGGCTTATGAGGAGAGACCGAGTAGATTGGGATTATACTCATTGGAATTTAGAATAATGGGGGGGGGGGGGGAGTTTAAAGAAAAAAATAAAATTGAGAAGGGAATATAAAAGGTACAAGCGGGGAGATTGTTTCCACGGGGGGGGGGGTGAAACTAGAAGAGGGGGCGTAGCCTCAAAATGAGGGGATGGAGATTTAGGACTGAGTTAAAGAGGAACTTCTTTACCCAAAGGGTTGTGAATCTGTGGAATTCCCTGCTCAGTGAAGCAGTTGAGGCTTCCTCGTTGAATGGTTTTACAGCAAAGATAGATTTTTGAACAGCAAAGGGAATTAAGAGTTATGGTGAGCGGGCGGGTAAATGGAGCTGAGTCCATGAAAAGATCAGCCATGATCTTATTGAATGGCGGAGCAGGCTCGAGGGGCTGGATGGCCTACTCCTGCTCCTAGTTCTTATTTTACTTCAAAATCATCTGCGTGGATCACTTCTCTCTTTCTTTGGAGGGGTGTGTGTGTGTGAGAGTATGAGTTATGTGCATCTGTGTCTGTGTGTGTAAGTGAGCATTATGTCTGTGTGTGTGATTGAGTGTGTCTGTGTGAGAGCGTGTGTGTCTGCCTGTATGTGTGTGTGTGTGTCTGTGTCTGTGATTGAGTGTGTCTGTGTCTGTGTGATTGAATGTCTGTGTGTGTGTGTGTGTCTGCTGGAACAGCCACATTTTGTTTCTGGTTGTAGTTTGCTGACACCAGGGAGCAGCTGGAGAACTGCTACAGCACATTGACAGTGCAAAGGGAGTTAAATTAATGCAAACAGATTATTGATGTTCACTCGAGATTGGTGACTGCCTTTGCAACATTATGAACACTGATCATAGCTGCAAGAACCATAAAATCAACATGAATATTTCTTAATGGATTCAAAATGACTGATAGAATCTTGCAGTACCCATTGAACCCATCATTCTCCTGTTTGAAAGAGCTATCCAATTAGTCTCAACTCTCCCTTATCTTTACTGAGAACTGCATCAATATTTCAAGAATCATAGAATCCCTACAGTGTGGAAGCAGGGCATTTGGCCCATCTACACCAACCCTCTCTGAACACCATCCCACCTAGACCCACTCCAACACCCTATCCCTGTAATTCCCATGGCTAACCCATCTTGCCTGCACATTACAGGGCAATTTAGCATGGCCAATCCACTTCACCTATCTTTGGACTGTGATAGGAAACTGGACAAGATGCAAACTCCAAACAGACAGTCACCTAAGAGTGGAATTGAACCCAGATCCTGAGCATTGTAAGGCAGTAGTGCTAACCACTGAGCCACTATAGCATCCTTCTCTTTATCCTTTTCAGATCACAGCCATAGAGGTCTACAACACAAAAAAAAACCAGATGGCCCATTGAAGTATTTACCTTGTTTCCCCTTTTGAAAGCAAGTGCTCAGATGTATTTTTACTTTGTATTTAAGAAATATTTAACCCGTTGTTGTGTGTAAAACTTATTGGAGAGTCAGGCTGTGTGCTGGGTCAAACTGAACGAGGGATTCAGAATGTGGGCTATCTCCTGGGTTTCTCTTCATGAGACAGATTTTTGATGCTGGTCGACTGAAACGCTCACTGCTGGGTCTCTGCTGACGCACCAAATGAGGAAGCTTTGCTTAGCGTTTTGCCCGCAGTCTCTAATGTTGTTAGCTGATG